CCTTGCACCTTTCTCTTCTTTTCTTGCCTTTTCGTTTGTCTTGTTCTTTCTAGGTGGACATCCAGGCGTGTTTAGTCAAAGCACCCCGTCCCCCTTCCGCCACCCCTGCCCGCAGAAAAAGAGAGCCCGCCGTTCCGGCTTCTTGTGTGTGTCCACATCTGTTTCTAAGGAACCTGCATTAAGTAATTCACCACCGGTGGAACAACTCGTTCCAAGCAGGGGGACGGGACATCACTGGCACTGCCCGTCCAACGAAGAGGGTGCCAGTCGGTGTTGAAGCAGTGGAGGACGCTCCACTGTGTACCTGCACTGAACACACAGACTCCATTCTTCCCGTGCTTTTTGTTGGTTCCATGGTCGTTGCATGATATCCCCCCAAACCTTCCCCAGCCGACTGCAGCCGCGCTGTTTTTGCCATCGCAGCTTCACTTGATTGAAAACACATTGTTCAAACACTTTCAACTCCGCTGACTCAGCCGCCATTCTGTTACAGCATTCTTTCGTTTACGCAAGTCAAGGTCGAATGCACCGGTAATCACTAGAGTGGATTGCCTCAACTGATTTACTCTTGCGAGCATAAATCTAAGTGTGTGATTTAGAGCAAGCAAGCCAGCCAGCCAGAACGCAGGCAGGCAAGCACACGAAGCACGCAAGGCAAGGCAAGGCAAGGCAAGCAATGGACGCGCGCACACACACACAACTCCAAAGATACCTAGCTCTGTTTGCGCCCGGCAAATGCTGATCTTGGAGGGTCCCGTACCTACAGTGCTCTCAACATCTCCACCGAATCGAACTGCGTTCAGAAGGCCTGGCAGCCACGGAGGCCACCGCAGAGAGGAGCCATGCTTCACCACTGGCGCCTCGAGTGATCGAACAGGGCACCTGTTACCGGTGAGAATGGGCAATTCAAAGATTGTCATAACATGTTCATGAACTTGTGAGTGAGAAGTTCTCATCTTCCCAGTCTTGGAAGAGGGTTCCATGCAAGAAATGGCCGACTGTCCTCTGGTGCGGTCATCTGAGTCGCTCTGCTCGTTCTCGGCCGAGAACGGACCGTGGATCGGCCGTTCGGGACATGAGTCACATGAGCCGTCGAACATCATCGGGGACAATCACATGGCCGTGTATAACATAGGGAGACCTCCCAGAAGACCAGTCTACCACTTGGGCGATGGGTCTCCCTATGCACCATCCATGTATGGCATATATATATATATATATGCAATTGACATGGCGCCCATCCACGTATTTAGTGCTCAGAACTCCCCGTAGGTTAGTGAAAGAAAGGCCGCCTTAAGCTATTTTGCATGGTGGCCGGAGCCTGGTTTGGTTTTTGAAGGTTGGCGGACCGCTGGAGCCCCTGTGGCAGATGGCGGAGAGGTCCATCCAAAGGACCGGAGATGGTGTACCAAAGTATGACGGTACACCAGAGCTCCTTCCGTTGTACAAGGAAGAGGCAGTTCAGTATTTGATGACGTTTGAGCACAAGAAGAGGTACCTTGCTGGGCCACGACTGATTAAAGAATTGGAGGGAACAGCGAAGGTTGCCGTTCGCACCAAAACTCTCCGAGATCCTCAATGGGTCTCACACCCACGGGGAGTGTATGCTCTTCTGGAACACCTTGAAGCTTCAGTTGGTCGTCCTAGTCTCCCTGAGGCATCGAGGCACGTCATGAAGTTCTTCTACAACCTCCAGCGACGCAAAGGTGAGACGATGACAAGCTGGATCACGAGGCATGCAGATGCCCTATGGGAAGCTTCACAGGCCTTGCGAAAGGTTCAGAAAGAGCATGGATCTCAGGATTCCAAGAGAAAGGGAGAGTCAAGGTGGAGTGCTCATTCAAACCCACCAATGAGCTTCGGGTCAAGGGAAGATGATGAGAAGAGTCCCTTTGATGATAATGGCCTTCTGCGGGAGGATGAGGGCAGTGAAGTTCGTCAGGGATACCATGGAGATCCTTGGCGTTGGTGGCATGCTTGGGAGGAGTGGTCAGGTGATGGCTGGTCACAACATTCCTGGCGCACACCGGAGTATGATCCTCCGGAAGATTGGGACAGATCAAATGACATCTTCATTCCAGAGTTCTTGGCAGGTTTTCTCCTTCTTCATCGGGCTGGCCTGGACTCGCAGGAGCGGGGCAATGTGCTCGCTGCCATTCGTGGACAGTTTAGCACGGAGACCGTGGGGCGAGCCTTGAGAGAACAGTGGTCCGATGAGGACATTCAGAAGAGAGATCGTCTGAAGGGCAACAGTGCCTTGGTCGCCGAGGGTTTCCAGGACGAGCTCGAAGCGCTGATGGCGGATGATGATGACTTGGGCCCAGGAGACCTGGACACCGAGAGCCTGGAGGCCTATATGGCTGAGCAGACGAAGATTGATGAGGCCATGGCCGCAATTCAGACACAGAAGACAACCTTGAAAGAAGCACGCTGGAAGCAGAAGCAGCTCAAGCTGGGTCGTGGCTTCTTCCCACCAAAGCCATTTCAGAGACCCAGTCAGGACAGCCGCAATTCCCAGGGCAAGAGATGCTTTCGATGCAATGGTCCACATCTCATGGCAGATTGCCCACAGAAGAACCAGCAAGCCAAGGTTGTGCAAGAGGAGTCCGCCGAGATCGCCTTTGTGACGGGTGAGGTGCAAGTCGAAGAGGCTGGATTCCTAGGAGAAGAGTGCTATGAGGCCATGGGCACTGAGAAGGCATTGGAGCAGTGCATGGGGATCATTGACTCCGGTGCCACCTCAAGCCTGGGATCCGCTGAGGCACTTGAGCGAATTATGGAGGAGAACCTCCAGCACCATGGAGAGACCAAGATGGACATCGACGTGAGCCGACGTCCCACCTTCAGGTTTGGCAACGGGCAGAGGAAAGATTGCTTGTCGACTGTGCGGGTGGGCATTGGAGCGGGCACGAAAGCTGGATCCATGGAGATTCACGTCCACGATACTCCAGGGCAACCAGTTCTTGTATCCAGGAAGGCCTTGAAAGGTCTTGGGGCAGTGATCGACTTTGAAGCAGGCTTGGCCATCTACAAGAATGTGGACAAGAATCAAGTTGTGAGACTCACGGAGGCCGACAATGGCCATTTGCCGATGCCCATCACCGGAAACATCCTGACTGGTGCAATGAGCCGCCAGACTCCGTTTGTTTCACTTTTTGACGAGTAGGGGAGACGCTCCTTTGACGATATGGACGGAAAGAATTCCGGTCAAGGGAGCCACTGTGTTTTGGGGAAAGAATCCAAATTTGATTCTTTTGGGGTAGGTTGTATGACAATCTTTTCAGAATGTCCTCACTGTGAATTGATGGCCGTGAGGGGTCAGCAGTGTCACTTTTGCCAGGAACACGTTGATGATCAAGCGTTACATACTCACATGATACACACACAGCACATTTCCAACTCAAGCCAGACGTGTGAACGAGGTGCGACTGTTTCCCGACCATCTCACTCTCCAGATGCCGGCGCCAACCACCAAGGCCGACTGGATTGCCAAGCTGAAGGGCGTGGGCATCAACGTTCCAATCGAGTGGAATCTCATCCAGATCAAGGCCGCTTGGGCCGACTATCAGGAGACCAAGAAAGACAGTCCAGCAGAGATCATGAAGGAAGAACTCTCAGGCCTCAGGCGAGCATCTCGCAAGAAGGCCGACCTTCAGCAGTACCTGGGGGACATGGGGGTTCAAGTGCAATCCAAGGAGACTGTGGCAGCCATGTTCAGCAAGGGCGAGGCAGCCATCATCCAGAAGTACGAACCGACAGGCAGCGAGACAGTGGGCTTTGGCAAGTACGGGACAATGACCTTCGAGGAGGTGGCAGAAAACCACCAGGACTATTTGACATGGTGCATCAAGGCTCTGAGCGAGACCGATTCCCCTTACTGGCGAATGGAGCGCCTGGTGAAGTGGGCCTCCGCACAGGGCTATTGCAAGACCATGAAGACGTCCGGACCGGTCAAGAGTCCCCACAAGACTCCAGGAGTTTCCTCAACTGGATATCCAACAAAGACCATGATTTCCAACTGGGACGACTTGCCGGAGATGAAGGCCAAGGCCAAAGCCAAGGCAATGATGAAGCCTCCCGAGGAGATCCCACTGCCACAGGTGGACTTCGACTCCGACGAAGAGAAAGTCATGATGCGGAAGAAGATCCAACAGTTGGAAGAGGAGAATGCAGACCTTCATCGTCAGCACAGTCGCAACAAAGACCGGAGGGAGATGTGAGAGAGGAATGTTTTCACACCTTACCCGACAAGACGGCTCAGGAACTTTTGCGTTCATGGGGTCCTCACACAAATCAATATAGCAAAGCATGGCAGCAGTTAGTTCAACATCATCGTCCTTTGTTGATGGAGCTTGCATGTTTTGAGAATAGTATTTTGTCTGAGGAGGTTCAAAAACGATACAGTACAAATAGTAGTATTAGGTTGAGCAATTGGAATGGAGCTGATCTAGAAACAGAGGAGGGTGTGCAGTTTGCTATCAAGATGCTACGTCAGCGTCGCCCCGTGCATCTCTGGATTAGTTGCGAGTGTGGCCCATATTCCCCCCTTCAACGGTTGAATCAGAAAAACCCACAACAGGTCCAACAGTTGCATGACAAACAACAGCGTGTTCGTCGTCAATACCAAGGGGCTTTGAGGGTTGCGGAAGAAGCTTTCAGGTTGAAGACAGAGGTGCACTGGGAGCTTTCTCAAAGATGTGAGGCATGGAGCCTTCCAGAAATTGTCGACTACGTCAGCCGACACAAACTGGAAAAGGTGAGTTGCGCTGGATGCACAGTGGGACTGCGCACTCGAGATCAGAGCAAGCTCATGTGTAAGTCCTGGACTATAGCGACCAAAAACGAGAGACTCTTACAACATCTCAATTTGCGCTGCCAGAAGAACCATCCTAAGGGCAAGTGTGAAGCTGGGGAATCCTCACATACAGCACGATACACAAACAGTTTTGCTCGGAAAGTCGTCGACAGTCTTTGCATGTCAGAAGTGTGGTCCAAGATTGTTCAAGAAATTCATGCCTCCCTTGAGGAGCAAGCCAATCCAGCTGAACAGGAAGATGAACCTCAAGGCATTCGCGTGGAGGTGGACGACCGGGAGAGAGAGGAGATCGTGAGGCGGATTCAACATGTTCACAGGCGCACAGGACATGGAGACATGAAAGGACTGGTCAAGGCTTTACAGAAGAGAGGGGCAGCGCCTCATGTTGTGGAGCTCGCAAAGCAATGGGAGTGTCCAACATGTGCTGAACGAAAACGTCCAGATCCACGCAGGTTTTCAACTTTTGACGGCATTGTTCCAAAGGGAGACATTGTTGAAGCAGACATTGCTACTTGGGTACATCCAATCAATCGCAACAAGAAACAAATAGCAGTGTTTACAGATGTTGGAAGCCGTTTTGCAGTAGGAAAGTTCATAGAGCGAGGCACATGGGAGGAACTTCAAGATGCTTTGAATGAGTTGTGGATTCCTTATTTTGGTAGGCCGAAGACATTGCGGGTTGATCCAGCAGGAGCATTTCTGAAGGGGGAGGCAGATCTCTACCTGGCAGAACGAGACATCTTTTTGGACGTCATTCCCGCAGAGGCACACTGGAGGTTGGGACTTGTGGAACACAATGTCAAATCTATCAAAGGAATGTTGGATAGTCTAGCAGAGGAGTTTACAGAAGCAACAGACAAACAACTGCTGGCACAGTGTCTTTGGGTGATCAACTGTCGCGCAATTTACAGGGGATACAGTCCAATGCAATATGTTTTGGGCAAGACACCAGATGATTGTTGGCGGGTTGACAAACAAGACAGGGAATTTCCAATACATCCGGATTTGATTTTGGACAACGGTTTTCAACAAGATGAGAAAATTAGGAAGGAAGCGGAAAAAGCTTTCGTGGAAGAACAGTGCAAGAGACGTGTTGAAAGAGCTGAGAGAATGGGCAACAGAGCATACAAGACATTCAATCCTGGAGACCTGGTATACTACTGGCGTCGACAGTTGCCAAAGTCGGAGAAGTCACATTTTCGGACTGGCAAGTTTCTGGGCCCAGCTAGAGTTCTTGCAACAGAGACTAGGAATGAAGAAGGAGTTCTTCGTCCAGGAGGTACAATATGGATTTTCAGGGGTGGAAAGTTGATGCGTGCAACTCCGGAACAGCTTCGACTAGCGATTACAGCTGAGACAATGCTTGAGGAGTTACAACAACCAGTGGAACTTCCGTGGACAATTACTAGTCTTTGTGACAGTGCCAAGAAAAGCATTTACATTGACATCACGGAGGAAACTCCAAGTCTCGAAGAGTGGCAGCAAGCGCATGATCCTGAAGAGCCAGAACTAGAAGGTCCACCAGCTCCAATTCGTCGGCACTCGGAGAAGAAACCTTTGGAGCCGGAGAACACGAAACGTAGCAAATTTCCAGCGCAGCTTCTTGATGAAAAACGGGGGCTAAATTTAGCCCCCGATTCAAGAGGAAAATTGCCAACGAAACATCCGAAACTGGCACCGAAAAGGGGCACCAAGAGAGGGGAAACAGAATCCAGCAGCAGCGCAGCAGACAAGCGCATGAGAGAAGAGGATACAGACCTTGTTGCGTATTATGCTCAGGAGGACAAGCAGAAGGTGTATGAGCTCGAGATTGAGATCCCAGAGAGTCATCGGCAGATGAAACACTTTCTGAGAAATCCTGAAGCATACATTGCATCAAAATTGAAGAGACGACAGGTCGAAGTCAAGGAGAAACAGTTGACAGCAGAAGAGTTGATCAAGTTCCAACAGGCGAAGTCCAATGAGGTCAAGAACTTCATTTCATCAGAATGTTTCCGAACAGCCAAGGAGATGTGCCCACCGGAGAATGAAATCGTGGGCATGAGATGGCTGCTCACATGGAAATACGATCCCAAGTATGAGGAGGGCCGCAAGGCAAAAGCAAGAGCAATTATATTGGGTTATCAAGACCCAAGGTACCAGTTCCATCAGACGGCAGCACCAACACCTAGCAAAGCAGGGAGACAACTATTCTTCCAGTACTGCGCTTGGAAACGTTTTCGAATAGTGAAGGGAGATGTTTCGGGGGCATTTCTACAGGGAGATGATCTTGCAGAAGCTTTGTGGTGCAGACCTTTACCTGAAATATGTGCAGAACTGGGAGTAGCACAAGACACACCAATGTTGTTGACCAAAGCAGCTTACGGATTAGTACAAGCACCTCTACAATGGTATCACTCAGTTTGCAACACCATGAACAAACTGGGATATCAAAGGTTGGTGACAGAACCATGTTGTTGGATCTATGTTGATGACACAGGCGCAGTGCGGTCCATGATTCACGGGCACGTGGACGACTTTGTGTTTGGGGGAGATGAGAATTGTCCAATCCACAAATCACTGATGTCACAGCTTCAAGCAGCATTTTCTTGGGGAACCTGGGAGGTCAAAGAATTTGAACAGTGTGGCATTTTGGTGAAACAAGGGGATGATTTTTCTATCACTTTGAGTCAGCAACGTTTCATTGAAGAAACAGATGAAATTCCCATTCAACGAGATCGGTCCAGACAACCGCAGTTGCCAGCAACAGATCGGGAGAAGAGTTGTTTACGGGGTGTGCTTGGAAGCCTGTCATGGTTGTGTGGACAGACATGCTTTCTTTTCTCTGTTGACACAAATTTCCTAGTCTCAGAAATACCGGTGGCAACCGTGGAAACCGTCAACAAAACAAATGCATTGGTGAGAGCAGTTCGCAAGTGGAAGTCGCAAGAATACAAGATACACAGCTTTCAACCGGAATCCGACTTGACAATGGTGGTATGGGCGGATGCAGCATTCGCAAACCGTCCAAACGGAAAGGACTCAACAGCAGGAATCTTTGTTGGAATGAGCGATGCTCAGTTCACACAGGGCCAAGAACGTGATGTGAGTCCAATTTTCTGGAGATCTGCCAAAATAGATCGGGTGTGCCGGTCACCAGCCTGTGCAGAAACAATGGCCAATCTGGATGCTGAGGATGACCTTCTATACCTTCGTGTGTTGTGGTCAGAGATGTCTGGACGTCCATTGGATCCAAGAGAGCCTAATATCGCAGCAGCTTCAGTACCAGCAATACAGATTACCGATTCTCGGAACTTGTATGATAAACTTCACAGAGCAACAGTTGTCATTAAAGGAGCTGAGAAGAGATCGGATATTGAGGCAATTTCATTGCGAGATCATTTTCATGAGTGTCAGACAAGGTTGTTTTGGGTTCATGGCGGGGCTATGATAGCAAACAGCCTGACCAAGGTGAGTGAGAAGCATCAAGCAATGATGTATGTCACTTTAGGCTTTCGCTACAAGGTGACCTATGACGAGCTCAACAGGTCGGAGAAGGTTCGAAGGAGAGAAGGGATCGGCCCACTCGAGAGCGCACACAACATACATTGAGGTGGTTTTGTGGTGATTCTAAATAGTTCCTGGCAGTGACAGTTTTTTTTTTATGTTGGGACCCGTGCAATTGACATGGCGCCCATCCACGTATTTAGTGCTCAGAACTCCCCGTAGGTTAGTGAAAGAAAGGCCGCCTTAAGCTATTTTGCATATATTATACTATATATGCCTACATTGAACCCTCAAACCACACCAATGTAGGTAAGTATGTCAGTCCCATGGAGTGTTTGGGAGACATTGAACCCTCAAACCACCCCGATGTAGGTACAGTAAATTATGTTATGCATGGAGTGTCTGGGTGTTGAAGGACGCACTCGTCTGACCTTGTGACTCAGGTGCACACGTTGCACACGTTCCTCCCCGCCTCGGCAAACGGCACACACGTCCAGGCCGTCGTGGACGAGTTGCAGGCTCCTCGGCAGGGCGCGATCGTGTGCTTTCTGCGTTGAACTCAGTCAAACGCAATTGGACGATGAACTGAACTCATTGGCGAATTCACCAACTGTTTCGTCGGATTCGGACATGGTCCGTCGAGGACCCAAGGAGCGAACGGTGTGCAAACGCACCAAACGCCCCAAACGCCTTCCGCGACCTAAACCCACTCCAAACACCTTCCAAATGGAAGGAGTTGGAGTAATGTAGACCCTTGATTAATAACCCCCCCCATAGGCGTCTGGCTCCAAGGCCTAGGCCTCAGGGAGTTCACGGGCCCCAGGACTGGGTGGCTGCGCATAGCGGAGTCCAGTGTCTAACAAGGGCACGTCTCCTCGCGCCCACCCGGTTCTACTGACCTTTGGTTCCTTTCCGCGTCCTTTGGTAGTTAGTTCCATGGCTGCCTTCGCTTGGGGTCCGTCTCTCCGAGACCCGGATCTAGATCGCAAGCTGCAAGGTGTCTTCGACATGTTTGGAGAAGATACATATGTGTGGGACATTGGATCTCGCAAGGTGGTAGCTGTTGAGATCACTTCCATCTCCCGAGACTGGATTGATGGCTTTCTCTGCCGTTTTCTGCCACGTGTTGGCCTTGATTGGCTTCAAGAAGATCGCAAAACTGCCAAGATTCGCATTTCAGGATTGGACCACAGGTACCCCCTACTTTGTGGAGGCGAGCGCATTCTTTGTGCTGGTACTGTGAAGACAGCGGATGCGGGAATGACAACGCTTGAATTTCATCCTGGTGTTTCTGTGGTTCATGTTCCAACCATGGCGCCTGAACATTGGGCCATTTGTCACATGTTTGCTGGTGGATACGGCGGCTGGGCACAAGCTGCAGAATGGCTACAAGACTCCAATGCTGGATTTGTCATTGACCGTCAAGTTTTCATCGATTGGGAGCCACATGTGACCAGAACGTGTAGCCTCAATCATGGAACCAATATTGACAAAGCCCCATTGGTACCGAGTGCAGATTTTGCTATCAAGCGAAAGATCATTGTCGAGGCTGCAATAGCTGACATGACTGCGCTTCATGCCATTCGTATGCCCTACAACATGCTGGCTACGATCTCGCCCCCCATGCATTTCCTGGTCACTTGGTGGCAAGGGTGGAGGTTTTGATTCCCTCCATGGCATGGCTCTTGTAGATGCAATTGAGTTTCTTTTCGCTACTCAGCCCAATGCGGCCATGTTTGAGTGTGCTGACGCGATCAAATCGCATCACCACTTTCCGGTGTTCGGAGCTCTCATGAACCATCTGGGGTATAAGCAAGTGTGGGAACAGATCATTCCCTACCATCTCCTCGCCAATCACCACAGGAACCGATGGTTTTCGGTCTGGGTTCGACATGACGTCCAAGCCACCGCCGTTGACAATTTGTTCAAGTTGATGGTGCCTCCCATCATTCCATGGAATGACTCCCGCTATCACTTCTCTTTGCCCCAACAAATCATGCAGCAGCTCCGTTTATCACCAGAGCACATGCGGACATATGGTGACCTTCAGTTGTTGCCACCAGCCAAAAGGTCCAGGGTTCAGTCTGCCGAATCAACTCTGCAGGTCGTTCGTGCCCGAATTCCTTCTCCAAGTGCTCCACTTGCCACCCTGTGCTCATCCTACACACAGCAACACTGCCTTGATCGCAGTCACTTGGAAAGGAGGGGGATTTTTGCAAGCATCTCGGAAGACAACAACCAGTTCGTGTTTCTTGACCCAGTCCGTTTCATTGCACTGTTCGGCACGGTCACCGATCTTGCGTTCCCTCTTGATGTTGCAAAAGCCTTCCAGCAAATCGGGAATGCCGTGAGTGTCCCTCAGGCCCTCTTATGTTTCCTGGTCACGCTTGCATCGACCACTAGCCTGCAGATTCCGATTCAGGAAACCCTTCGTAAGTGCTGGCTAAGCAGGATTCATGCAGATACAACTGTTCTTGAGGTCATTGCCGACCATGTGTGGATTCGCAATATTGTGCAGTTTGTGCATTCGCTGCCTAAGCCTGTCTTTCACGTGCTTGCACCGAATGCCCAGGTCATCTTCCTTGATGAGAAGTTCCCGATCGAGATCGGTGCACATATGAGCTTTCGCGAACTTGCTGCCATGCTCTTTCGTTTGCAGTTCCACCAAATGATGCAGATTCGAGTTGAGCATGTTTCATTGCACCCAACTCCTGTTGGTCTTGCTTTGCCTTTCATCGAGCAGACGCAAGAGTTCGAGCTCTATCTAGGAGGGTATCAATTGTGCACTGTGCAGGCATGGGATGGTTGCTTGAGCCACGGTGGCCCACCACCTGTCATTCCGACTCCACGTGCAGATCAGCTTTGTCCGCAAGTCACGCAAGCCTTGTGTAAGCCCTTAAGCATTGAAGAACTGCGATTCATGCAAGTCGTTGAAGCCCTTGAGAACTTAAACTGCATCACTCTTGCACCGTGCAGCACTTTTATCATTTGGGCTGAAAGAAACATGTGGGCCTTTACTCCATTTGATGGTCATGAGGGTCAATTCCCGGCACGCCTTCGAACCGCCTTTGAGGTTTTGATTCCGCCAGCCAAGATCGTCATCATTTCTTTACATCCAAACTTTCGCTGGAGGCAGGGCATCAGAGGGTTCATTGTCAAGAACAGTGACACCATGCATCATGCTGGGAAATGTGTCTTGCAAGAATCGCCCAATCCAGATGGGACTTCAGCCTTTGTTGTCACCGAAGCACGTGAAAGCTGGCCCTCAGGCACTTTGCCTTCCCATTCAGGTTCCTTGCCAACCGCAGGATGGTGACATCTTCCTTGTCCCTCCTCAGTGCATTCGAGCTGGGGGTGTCCATGACATTTGCAAAAAGAGACAGGTCTTGCTGCCAGGTGCAACATTCGCCGACCGATGTGAGTTTGCCTGCAACACAGAAGGTTGGTTAGCCACTGATGAAACATGGTTCCACATTGCCAACCTTAATTGGATGACCCCCAACATTGCTTTCCTTGATCCGGTTTTCTGGGACAGCAGGGTCAACCATCTGACCCTTTCTGATGGTACTTCCCTCGGATTCCCGAACAACACCATTTCGATTCTGCCGGTTTTGGTTGACAACCATTGGTCAGGGGTCGAAGTCATGCGCCTTGCCGATGTCATCCAGATTGTATTCGTGCAGGTCCCAGTCGAACTCCAGAGTAGACTCCAGACGATTCTTGCAGGCATTTTCGATGTCATGCCGTCCAAGCTGAACATAACTGAAACTTGGCCGGAACAGCACTTCAACATGTGTGGATGGACACTTTTGCGCCGTTGGAGCACTTTGATCTCAGATGAGGAATGGCAAATTCCGGTCGATCTTTCCCAGATCACACCAACCAAATTGCAATCGCTCCAACTAGCGATCGAAGCCAGTCAAGAGGATTGGAGAGCTGTTGGTATTGATCATAATTTCCTGCGCTTTGCCACTCAACTGAGGACGAAGTTCCTGGCTCACTTGGCTCGCACCACCACGAATCTTTCGTCAGCCGTTGCACAGCCGCTGTCGACCAATGTGCATTCGCTTGCAGTCAATCCAGAGACAAGGGCAACAACCATGACCGCTTTCTCCGGGGAGACTCCCCACTTCCTGTTTGACTACCTCAACCGTAGACTTGAGGACTTCCGATGCGAGCCAACGTGGGCTGCCAGTGACGAGATTGACCACGCATTAGATGTTGCTCGCATCTATGCTTCGCACACCTTGATTGTCACGCCTTTGTTGTGGGACCCGCAGTCAGCATCGTGCAAGTCCATCACAGGGGCACAGACCCCTCTTGTTGGGTTCACGGAGTTCATTGCTCCTCTTCGTGTTGGAAGCCATTGGGTGCAGTGTGACATTTTTCTTCATGGCCAATCTCTCTTTGTGCTTTTTGCCAACAGTTTGCCATTCGATGCCGAACCGCAGGAGATTGCATTGTGCTTTGGCCGGATCATGTCCATCCACCCTGCAAATGTCACTTATGTCGTCCATGATGCCGACACCCCTGAAGGCATGTGTGGCTGGTCGCTTGTGAAACGTGTCTTTGACCGATTTCGAATTCCGATTCCTGAAGTCGCTATGCCACTCGTTGATGCATTGTCCAAGTCCCAGTTTGGTCAGACCATCGCATCCATCTTAGACAATGCCAATGCAGCATGGGCTGACAGTACTGAGGATATCTCCCTTCGGAAGCTTGCGTACGCTGTCAGGAACACCTTCCTGCATCGCATCTTGCACAAGCCAGGTCCTCCTGAGTATCTCTCAGCAGGAACCACAGATGCACAGGATGTTACGATGCAGCCAACAGCCAATGTTGGCCCAGTTGACCCCCTCACGGTCAACGACCCGTGGGCCAAGGCCCAGCATCAGGCTTCGAGATGGGAGGACTTGAAATTACCAAGTGTGCATCCGTTCGTTGACAACGCTCAGAAGCCAGTGCCACAGATTCATCGCCTACAGGCGTCCAAGAACAGAGGGGGAGTCATTTTAGCCCCAAAGGGTAGTGTTGCCGATGTCTTGAAGACCCAACCTCCTGCCCCCTCCATCGTCGTGATGCCGGCAGGTGATCCGTCATCATATGGTCCTTTGGCAGCACGCATCCAGGGTCCTTTCGAGGTCGTCCTTGAAGATCCCAAACTTAAGACAAGCCATAAGCGACTCGTTCAGTTCTTGCTCATTGAAGGTGATGTGAAATTCTCACTTGCCAAACCAACATGCTCCTTCACAACACCACTTGTATCCGAGCTCGTCCTTGAACTTGATTCCAGATGCACAGACAAATCCTTGTTCACTGCCATCCAGCAGGCACCGCTCATGCACTTTCGTGAGAAGGCTCTCGAGGTCTTTGGGCCGAAGTCCTTCGAAGGGGCACAGTTCTACGGGTTTAGGACCTTTCGTAGCCCTCCAGGTGGGGAAGGAGCAACGCAATTGCAAATCATTGTCAAAGTTCCAGCCAAAAGTCGTGAACAACTCCTTTCTCAGAGTGCTGTTGATGGA